CCAACCCTGGCCTGCTTGTCCTGGCAGCCAGAGATCCTGGCCTGCTATCGAAACAAAAAAAAAATATTCAGAAACTTTTGCCAAGATGATTCCACTCACCATCAGTACATGGAATGTGGACAACATGACAGATGAACAGCTCTTGTTACAAAAGAACTCAGCAGGTATCATATCCAAATAGCAGCCCTGAGTGAAACAAGGTTGGTAAATGAAGGCCAATTTAGTGAAGTTGGAACTGGATCCATGTTTTTCTGGAGTGGCTGCAGCGATGGGGAGCACCTTGAAGCTAGCATAAGTTTTGCAGTCAAAATTAATCTAGTCAACAAGCTTGCATGCCTCCTAAAAGGAGTGAATGACAGATTCATGATATTGTGATTGCCCCTTGCAGGAAAGTGCCATGCCACTATCATCCGTGCATATGCTCTCCCCATAACAAACCCTGATGAGGTCAAATAAAATTTTTTATGAAGACCTGGAGACCCTCATCATCAGTGTGCCAAAAGAGGACAAATTCATAATTCTGGATTACTTTAATGCCAGCGTAGGTACTAACTAAAAGACATGGCAAAGAGTCCTAGGGAGAAATGGAGTCAGAAACAGCAACAGCCATGGTCACTTACTTCTGAAGAATTGTGTGTCTCTTGACCTTCTCATCACCACCACTATTTTGCATTTACCTAAACTCAATAAAACTTCATGAATGCACCCTTACAGCCAACATTGGGCATTTAATAGATTATGTCATTGTAAGGAGAAGAGATAGACAGGATGTGACAGTGATGAAGGTGATGTGTGGTACAGAGTGCTGGACCAATCATAGACTTATCCTCTCTAAGCTAAACATTCACATTCAACAAAAATGGCAGCCCGAAGGCAACATGACTATAAGATTTAATGTCAGCAAAATGCTCAAAATCACTATTGATTAGAGACATGAAAATCAAAACTCTAAGGTACCACATCACACCTATCAGATTGGCTCACATGACAAAACAGAAAAATGATAAATGCTGGAGAAGATGTGGGAAAATTGAAACACTAATGCATTGTTGGTGGAGTTGTGAATTGATCTAACCATCCTGGAGAGCAATTTGGAACTATGCCCAAAGGGCTATAAAACTGTCCTTTGACTAGCACTACCACTTTGGGTCAGTATCCCAAAGAGGTCATAAAAATGGGAAAAGGACCCACATGTATGAAAATATTTATAGCACCTCTTTTTATGGTGGCAAAAAATTGGAAATTGAGGGGATGCCCATCAGTTGGGGAATGGCTGAACAAGTTGTGGTATATGAATGTAATGGAATACTATTGTGCTATAAGAAATGATGAACAGGCTGACTTCAGAAAAACCTGGAAAGACCTGTAAGGTCTGATGCTGGAACCAAGAGAAAAATGTACAGAATAACAGCCACATTGTGTGATGACTAACTTTGATGGACTTATCTCTTCTTAGCAATGCAAGGATCTAAGACAACTTCGAAAGATTCATGATGTAAAATACTATCCACATCCAGAGAAAGAACTAGGGAGTCTGAAAGCAGATCGAAGCATATTATTTGCTCTCTCTCCTTTTTTTTTTTTTGTTTCTTCTTTCTTGTGGTATCTCCCATTTGTTCTAATTCTTCTTTACAACATGACTAATGTGAAAATATGTTTAGTATGCATGTATATGTAGAGCCTATATCAAATTGCATGCCATCTTGGGGAGAGGAGAGATGGGGAGAAAATTCAGAACTCAAAATCTTATGGAAGTGAATGTTGAAAACTAAAAATAAATAAATAAATTTATGTATTTAAAAAAATTAATGTCAGCAAATTAGAGTGTTTCTTCAAATGTGAACAGTTTGTTGCTAACTTGGAGGGAAAGCTGAGCCAGCACATGGTTGGCAACACTGGAGAAGAAAAGGAGTGGGAAGGCTTTCAGAGATTTGGTATGTAGCACCACATTTACTCATCTTTGCCAGAATACTTAGAAACATCAAGATTGGTTTGATAAAAATGATGGGGAAATTCAGAAACTGCTAAATGAAAAACAAGAACTCCACAGGGTTAACTAACAGGATAGTTCATCTGTCCCTAAGATGGCAGCATTGAACTCCATCAAAAGTAAAGTGCAAGCAAAGCTTAGAGAGATGCATACTTCTTGGCTTAGTAACAAGGCAGATGAAATTCAGTGTTAACACTGATAGTAGCAATCCAAAGTACTCTTATAATGTTCTGAAGGCTATATATGGGCCAAAAACTATGGTATGTCTCAATCACTTAGTGCTGATGGAGCCACATTGATTAGTGATAAGGACGTGATCCTGGAGAGATGGGCTGAACACTTCTATAGCGTTCTCAACATTAGCATTATGTTTTCTGTAATGTTGTCAGATGCCATCAATGAGGATGACAAAGGCATCAAGGTCACCTACTGTTCTGATAGTAAATTATTTAACTTGAAAAGGCAACAAGTCAAGGCTAAAGTGTAGGGAATGTTAGTGCATGATTTTTTTGTATGCAGATGGTTGTGCACTCAATGCAGCCTCTGAGGCTGAGATGCAACAGAGTATGGATCAGTTCATCTCTGCTGTTTGTGCTAATTTTGGCTTAATAATCAACATCCAGAAGATACAGTTTCTTCACCAGTGAGCACCACAAATTCATAGGTACATCTGTCAGTTACAGCAAATGGAGAATTTTTGAATGCTGTGGATAAGTTCACCTACCTTGGCAGTATACTTTCCAGGGATGCACACATAGATGATGAGGTTGACACACACATTGCCGGAGCCAGCTTGGTATTTGGGATGCTCTGAAGGAAAGTGTGGGAGAGAAGAGATATTAGACTGGCTACCAAACTGAAGGTCTACAGAGCCATTGTGCTGACCTCATTGTTATATGCCTATCAAACCTGGACAGTATACTAGTGCCACACCAGGAAACTGAATCGCTCCCACTTGAATTGTCTAAAGATCACCTGGCAAGATAAGGTCCTGGACACTGAGGTCTTTCCTCAAGCTAAACTACCAAGCATTGAGACTCTACTGCAGAGAGTAACTTCAGGCTGGCCATGTTGTTTGAATGCCCCCAAAGTAAGTTTGCCTAAGAGAGAGAACTTTTATGGAGAGCACATACAAGGCAAGTGCTTTGTGAGAAGCACTTGAGGTCAAAGAAGTGATAAAAAGACACTCTCAAGGTCTCTCTGACATTGAGATTGGTTTGATAAAAATGATGTGGAATTGAGTTGAGACATGGGAGACACTGGCACAGGATTTTCCAGCATGGCACATCCACATCAAAGGTGCTGTACTCTATAAGCAAAGCAGATTTGCGGTAGCTCAAAAGAAACAAACATGTGCAAATTTAGAGACATCTCCGCTACAAATGTTCTTATGGACTATTTGTACCCAACCTGTAGTAGAGCCTTCCTACTTCATATTGGTCTAATTAGCCACAGACACATCATACCTTGACTCCCAACATAATGATGTCATTATGGTCCTCTTTGAGAACAAAGGACAACAACTAACCAAATGCTAGCTATTATATGCTAGTTATAGCTTGCGTCCTATCCAGTCTCAGTAATACTTATGAATTCAAATTTATTTCCCAGATTTTTTATTCATACCTTGGGAATTTGTATAAAGACATCTGTGACCATTATATTGTTAACTCATTTCTTGGATTTTTTTTTTCTCTTGTGAATTTCTCAGCATCTCTACTACCATTCATCCTCCTTAAAGCTACTTTCTACTGGTACTGTATCTAGCATGGTGAATAGACATTGGCAGTTTTCTCTCTTCCCCTGCCTTTCAGTTTAAATCACCCCCCTCTTTTTTTTTTAACATACTCTTGAGAGGAGTACAGGTATAAACTGCCAATACAGGTGCTTGCAAAGCCTGAACCAGTATTTTTCAACCAGGGACTGTTACTGTCTTTTTACATTATAGCTAGTTCATTTGATTTGTGGAACTGATGGTATTCAAACATAAAATCTGAGTAAGCTGTTTCAGATGCTTAACACTTTGGTTGTGTCGGCCCTTCTCTCTTTTTATGGGGTGGTCATAGACCTTTCATCCATATAGGGAACTCCTTGTGGGGAAATTTCCTTTACTGATGCAGATAAAAACCTAGAAAGAGGTTAGAAAGAGTTGCCTACATGCCTGATATGTTATAGGTTGGATTTGAACCTAGATCTTTCTGACTGGGAGGTCAGCCCTCAATCTACCACATCACAATAGCCTCTCTATCCTTAAAAAAATATTCTCAGTTTAAACAATTTAACATTGGTCATCAAGGGTAATCCCTAGTAAAAGTACACAATTAGTGAAAAATGGTCAGTACTTGGAGTTCCTTAACTTATGAGGATGGCATTTAATAGTGTCTAAAACTATATTTACCTGATTGTGAAAGACTAGCTGCCTGGCTTGCTTGCTTTGCTGGAGAATGCTGCCCTCAAAAGTATGTGTATGTTTCCCTCTAGTGGCAGTTTTATAGAAGTTCAAAGACTGTTAATTGCTGCCAAGTAAAAGAAATTTCCTTTTTTTCTGCCTCCTACTGGAAGGGAACCATACATTGGGGAAACCCAGATGCACGAAATTAAATTTTTATATTTACACCAAGTTTCCTAAAATATTTATGCTGTCGGAAATTCCTTTTTCATAGAATTTTAATTACCTTCTCTGTACTTGCTGTTATGGGGAACAGTGATGGAGAGTGTTTTAAACCTACATTTTGACAATTGCATTTCAAAAGGTATTACCCAATACTGAAATAAAACATGTAAAATAAATGGCTGCTCAGAAATTACTAGACAAATAATGTTATCTAGAATTTGAATAGACTATAGATATAGTAAAAAATATTAACAAATATGACCATCTTTTAATACTAGAAACTAGGAAATATACAATTACTATTTATTTATATGTTAACCACAGTTTTTTTTGTACTAGTTCACTTTTAATGACTATATTTCATATGAATCGTCATATTTAATTTTTGTTCATTAGGCATTATGTACAATCTGTGGTTAAGAAGGGGACTCCTTTTATTGGCTTACCTTCTCTTATTGAAGCTGATGAAAGTCAGAGTATTCAAGATATGAGCCAAGCAACAGGAATTTTGACTTTGCAAAATGTTTCTCAGGTAATTATTTAGCTACAAAGGATTATTTTATAAAGGGAAGGGATATTCTCTTAGGTGAAGGGTTGTATTTAAACCTTTTCAGGGGCTACATTTTCCATTTGTTTTTCTAGTTTGCATTTAAATTTGTCTGTGTATCCTACATTCTGTGAATATCATTTCCAACTAGGAAATCTGATTGGATAGAAGGTGTTATATAGTTGATTTATAAAGCCTTGCATCAATTTATCAAGTTAATGATAAAGAAAATTTTGGGAAATACAATACTTTCATCAAGTAAAATGTTATATCCCAGATAGCTTTGTGCCTTTTTATTCTTAAGTTGAAATATCAAAGCTTCATTTAAATCAATTTAAAAACAGATAAAATGGAGACAAGTTACTGAACCTTTAGCAATTTAGACTTATATAACTTTAGATTTCAAAAGGACCATTTGGTCTAACTTTTTATAAATGAAGAAACTGAGTCCCAGAGAAGTGATACAGCCCTATGTCTAACTTTACAGCTAGTGTTCCTTCAGATAGCTCTATGCTCTATTTTGATCATATAGTATTTGAAAATAGAAATAACTTCCATAGTAAATTATTTTATATAACAATATAACTCACATTTATATAATCTTTTAAGATTTATAAAGTAATTTCTTCACAATAACCTTGCAAGACTAGTCTCTAAATATAATTTCTAGAGCTACAAATGAGGAAACTTATAAAGATTAATTAATAAGCCCAGGGTCACATGGTTAGCAAGTATCAGGGTATTGACTCAAATCTAGATCTGATAATTAAATCTGATAATTAAACTTTAAGAACCAGGAAAACTATATATATACAATTACTATTAAAATATGAATGAAGGGAATAACAGCACAAAAATATAATTTAATGCTGTGAAATATAATCACCAACTTGACCCCAAAGAAATAGTATGAGGAAGTACTACCCTTCTTTGCACAGGTTGGGAACTGGGGAGGTGGAACATCACATCTAATGTGGGTCTTGGTTGATATGTTGTTTAGTTTTACTGAAATTAAATTTCTCCTTCATTATAGCTTTCAAAGGAGTTGGAAGGGGAAGAATATATTGGGAAATGAAGTTGGTATAAAAAATTACTATATAAAATAGTAAAATTCAAGCAATTGAAATATGATTTCCTTTTAAATTCATATTTATTATTATTTATTTAATAATTAATATTGATAGAACATTTAAGACTTGCAAAGCACTTTACAAGTATTTTCTCATTTGATTCTCACAGAAACCTTGGGATGTAGGTTCTGTTACTGTCCTCAATTGTAAAATGAGGAAACTGAGGCAGACAGAGGTTAAGTGAGTTGCCCAGGATTAACACAGCTAGTAAATGTCTGAGGCCGAAATTGAATTCAAATCTTTCTGACTCCAGGTCTAGCATTCTATCTATCCACTGTTTCACCCAGCTGCCTTTGCTTTCATTTATCAGTCATGTCTTCTACTGAACAGAATGCTCTCTTGTAGCAGAAAAATATAGTTGAGAAATATAAACTTAACCATTGATTATGACTAATAGGTCAGAGTCATTGGTTAAATTTATATTCTGTAACCATAGTCTACCACCTCTTTATGGAGAAGGAGAAGAAGAAGGTATTTTTTGTCATAAATCCTTTGGAGTTAAAATTGGTCATTATATATAAAACTGCATTTTGATGTCTTTTAACGTTATCTTCCTTTACATTATTTTGATCATTGTGTTTTTGTTTTTGTTTTTAGCTTTTTTCAACTTTCTTTGCATCAGCTTATATAAGTAGTTCCATTGTTTTCTGAATTCCTCATATTCTTCATTTTTATCTACAATAATATTCTATTATATTTATACACCCCAATTTTTTTCAATCATTTCCCAACCAACAGACTTTGTTTCTAGGATTTTTTTTTGCTACCACAAAAAAAGTGCTACTCTATATTTTTTGGTATGTGGGAATTTTTACCCTCTCTGCCAAACACTAAATATATCTAGTTTCTTTTTATTTTAAAATGTTTTTATTATAGGGTTGAGAAATTTGATTAAATTCACTTAAAAAAAATACAGCAGCCAGACAAAACCTGATCTTGTAATCAGAAAACCTGAGATCAAGCCCTCTGCTGCTTTGGCTGCTCTCCTCTACAAATTGCTATAACAAATTACTATAAACCTCAGTTTTCTCAGCTGTAATATAGGGATAGTGACACCTCCACTACCTACTTCAAAGAGTTTTTGTGAGGAAAGTACTTGGTAAGATTCTATAAAAAGGTGAGCCATTATTATTGTTTCCTCCTATGTTAATAGTATTTGTTGAAATCTACTACTTTTGCTTTTAGTTCCTTCTTAAGAAGCCCAATGCTTCTATCATTATTTGAAAACCTTTTATGTTTTGGACACAACAAATGGTATTTACAAATTTTGTTTACTTGGTATGTGCTTTCCTAACCAACAGATGAATCTTGGTGTTGCCAATGGAACTCCTAAAGGTAAATGAATAACCTATTCATTAACTTTGTTGAAAAAAAAATGTAAAAGAATACTGTGACCAGTTGATGAATTCTGTAAATTACAGAGTTTAAAAGAGACTAAGCCTGTTAGTTTTTGGGGATTAGCTACCTAAAATGCTTGCCAAAAGGTATTTACTTGGTGCTTTATTGTGTAAAGAAATTACTTTTATTCCCTTTCTTTCCCCTCCCACCCTACACAACTTTTTGCTTTAAGAAAACATTCACAATGTAGTGGTATCTTTTCACAAAGTGTTTAAAAAGCAAAGAGGCTATTTTGTTAGAGGGCATTTTTTTCATAGGGTAGACAACTTCTTTTTCCCCTCTAGAATTTACTTGACCATGGATGCAAAAATCTGCTCAGCTTCTGCTCCCTGCTCATAATTATAGAGATCAGCAGGGCCTGAGGGGAAGACCCTTCTGGGGAAAACAACATGTTTACTTGGAGAAAGTAAACTGAAGGCCAAACTGAATAAACCCAAAGATATTCAGAGTGCCAAATGCAGAGGTCTGAGGTAGGATACAGGGAATAAAGTGTTCTTAGCAGTTTTCCAAAGCTTGTGAGGTTAGTAAGGAATGTCAGGGGGAAAGTACTAATACAAAAAATGAGGGCCATTGCATCTTCTTTGGAATTATTTTATGGCAATTTATGGAATTTACTTTATGGCCTGCTGGTTATATCTTCTTCTGTTTCCCTCTGTTGCCTTCTAAGTTGGCTCCATGTAGGACAGGACAAATTTTAACTTCCTTTCACTCCAGGACAGTTACCTTCCTTTAGAGGAATATTGACGTCTGGTATCTCCTGAAAACAGTTAAACTCTGAGACATTCAGTCAGTTGGGGAGCAGTTTTTTTTTTCCCAAGTGTACTGTCAGTTCAGTAAAGAGAAACCACACAAAAAAATGGGAATGGAACTGAGTTGAGGAGGGAAAGAGAACAATAATCCTTTATGGTAATGGTAAGCTTTTTGGGTTCCAGCAAAGGAGTTTCAGAGAAGTATAGCAAAGTTGGATTCTTGCAGGGATAGCAAGATTGTGCAAAGATGAATTTGTAAACTGTCTGATTTGTCAGATGTGTCGATGAATGAAATCTTCTTTGTAAAAATACAATAACTAATTTGACATTGCTGGGGAATCAATTATCAATAATTCAACAATCATTTCTACCAGACATGATGGTAGATGCTGGAGATATAGTAACAAAGATATAGAACAAAGATGATATAGAAAACCCATGTGGCATTGACAAATCACTTAAAACTCTCTGAGTCTCAGCTACTTCAGCTATAACATGGGGAAATTCACTTATATCACCTACCTTAAGGGTTGTTGTATGGAAAGCATTTTATAAATTTCCGTAAAAAGGTGAACTATTATTGTGTTTTGTTACTCTCTGTGTTAATAGTATCTGTGAAAGTGTTGCATTAGTTTTTCAAGATTCCACACAAGTGAATTTTTTAGATCCCAGAAGTTTATTCCTCTTAAGTGCTCCAACTAGTTTTATTTAATTATTTTATGCAAATTTCCCCTAAATCTAGTAAGCATAACCCTGCCTTCTCAAACGGAAAACCCTGAATCACTTTACTTTTTTTTGGTTATTGACCGTCATAATTATGAATCTCAGTTATTGTTCTGTACTGCTATAATGCATTGATACCCTCAGAAGATATTTGCTTCCCATTTTTGTCATCTTCCAGATTGTCTTCTCTGCCCGTCTTCCTCCTCTTTTTTTTGTAAAATAGTTAGATAATAACCAAGGTTTATTCCAAATAATTCTAAATAATACCCAACATCTTAATCTAAATTCAGCGATCCTGTGACCAGTTTACCTCATTTACCTTTACCTCATTACCTTTTTTTTCCCTACTTTTACCAATAAACTCTTTCTATAGAAAGAGTATCAACTATAGTTGATGGGTTGAGATTAAATGGGCTACTGTAACTTCAAAAAATTTGTAAATCACTAAGTGTCCTAGATTAATACTTTGTATTATACTTTGTATAAAAAATTTTATTTATTCCTAGCAATAAATTATTTCAAGTTCCTTTTCTTTTTGAATTCTTAGGTCACCTTTTTTTTTTTTGACCTGGGGAATAAGACAATCAAGCATATTAGGATTATATCAAAGATCATAATTAATAAACTGTGTGACTTTCTGGCATGTGCTTTGTTTGCTTAAGTGCCTTCACCAATCACTTTTTGGTTTGCTTTTGGGCTTTAGTCTATTTTCCCAATAGTTAAAGTTGCTGGATAAATCACCTCTGAACTGACTCCATCTCTGTTCATTGTGACATCACCAAAAATATCACCAAAATGGGGCCGCTCGGTGGTGCAGTGGGTAGAGCACCAGCTCTGGAGTCAGAAGGACCTGAGTTCAAATCTGGCCTCCGACACATAACACTCACTAGCTGTGTGACTCTGGGCAAGTCACTTAACCCCAATTGCCTCACACACACAAAAAAAATCACCAAAATTAGAAGTAGAAATAAGTTTTCACTGGTGTTTTTAAGATAAAAAGAAAAAAAAGTAAAATTGAACTCAAACTAAAAATCTTGCAATGTTGTCATTGTTATGTTGTAGAGGTTATACTTCATGCAGTATGCAAGAGAATGTACCTATAGAAGCTCTCATTTCAGAAAGTATGCATTAGGACTTCTCTGGAAACTTTGGGGGGCACAAGCTGCTTTAGAGAGCCTGTATAGACCTATCCTATATATGCTCCATGGAGTGTAACCTCTGCTACGCTTATATTTTATCATCCTATGCCAACCTATTCTTTTTCCTCTTTGGATACTCTTTTAGTGTAAAGCCCTAATCAAGTGTGCTCTGGGACCCTCTACATTTTTGACATTATAAAATCTCTGTATTACAGAATTTTATGATTTCTAAGGGACCTTAGTATCTATTTCTTCCAAACTATACACAAAAAGAATCCCTGCAGTAAATTACAATACCTCATCTTCCTCATTTCCTGCCTCCCCCAATACAACCTTTTCTTCTAAAAGTACAGTGTGAAATATATTTTTTAGTAAAAATTCACTTTACTTTAGTAAGTTTTTGAGCCTTCTTGGAAAACTCATTGCCACAAATCCAAGGTCAAGAATCAAATGGAACATGGAAACAATTCTTGTCACAATGCATAGTAATAGCTAGCATCTTTTACATGTGTTGGTCCTTAAAACAACCCTGTCCTATCATAATATAGAGCGAGGACACCAAAGTTCAATGACTTGTCCAGGGTCATACTGCTAAAAAGGTCTAAGGCAGGATTTGAACTCAGGTATTACTCATTCCAAGTCCAGCACTCTGTCCACCATGGCACCTAGTAGCCTCTAAGAGTGCTTTCCTTTCTATTGTCTCTGAAGTCCCTTTTCTCTACTGATGGATTCTGAAGCAGGTTTCAGGGTTATGAATTAGGATGTCTACTTTAGAAAGTTATGTGGGAGAAAATTACTGAATTACTGAACACACTGACATCAGTATAAGACTTTCTGAGGTTATTGGTCTATATTTGGAATGTAAACTAGTGACATTCATGTGTATTTTTCAGCACACATGTTCATAAATACGAACTTTCCAGATTCTCCTTGTTGTTTTTCATGTATCATTGACTTCCATTCTTTCAGACCATGGACAGTTTTGCCATGTTAATGTTTGTTCTTCCTATGTATACAGAAGAGCCACCAGAAACTGTGTATAATGTTACGGTTCGTCAGTCAGAGACGACTGACTTATACAGCCAGGTAACATGCATCTTGGATAAATCCCAAGAAGACGTATTAACAGAAAATGCTCCTATATGCAAAGAAATCTGGTTTGACTATGATGACTTCTGCAAATGCTTCCAGTAAGGATTAAAAAGTTCCCTACCCCCACATATTTAATATACCAGGATCTTAAAGTATTCATTGTTCAGCTTGGGTTCAAATGCTTCCTGATAGAGTGTACTGTGGGAGAAATCAGGTAGGTTAGTGTAATTAGATGATTGGGTACATGGAAAGGAGCAAAGTATAAGGAAGCTGGAAATGTAGGAAGGAGCCAGGGTATAAAGAGCTTTAAATAGCAAACGAAAATCTGTATTCAGTTCTGCAAGATAATAGGGAGTCATTAGAGTTTATTGAATAGGGATAGTTTATGGAGTAGTATTGATATGGCCAGATCTGTGCCTTAAAAATCACTATGGCTTAAAAGTGGAGGATGGATTGGAGTGGGGAGAGACTTGAGGCAAGGAGACCAATTAGAAGATTAAGGTCAGGAGAGAATGCCATCTGCATCAGTGAAGTAGTGAATTCTGCCAAACATTTAAGGATCAACTAATTCAAATATTAAATCAATTATTTGGGATAATAGGCAAAGGAGTCCTCCTTTTATGAAACACATATGGTGCTGATAGCTAAATAAGGAAGAGCAAAAATGCAAAAGAAAATTATAGACCAAGTTCACTGATGAATATGATGCAAAAATCCTAAATAAGAAACTAGCTAGGAGACTACAACAGTGTATCACAAGAACTATACATTGTGATCAAGTGGGATTTATACTAGGAATGCAAGGATGGTTTAACGTGAGAAAAACTATTTATCAATAACAAAAGTAACAAAAATCATATGATTATATCAATAGATGCAGAAAAAACTGTTGACAAAATGTAACACTCATTCCTTTTAAAACACTTAAAAACATATGTATAAATGGATTTTTCCTTAAAATGATAAGAAGCATCTACCTAAAACCATAAGCAAAGTATTATTTGTAATGGGGATAAGCTAGAGGCATTCCCAGGAAAATCAGGAATGAAACAAGGATGCCCATTATCACTAATATTATTCAGTATTGTATTAGAAATGCTAGCAATAGCAATAAGAGAAGAAAAAAGAAATTGAAGGAATCAGAATGGGCAATGAGGTAATAAAACTATCTCTTTTTGCAGACAATATAATCATATACTTAGAAAATCCTAGAGATTCAACAAAAAAGCTGGTTGAAACAATAGTTTTAGCAAAGTAATAGGATATAAAATAAACCTGCATAAATCATCAGCATTTCTACATATAACCAATAAAACCCTGCAAGAAGAGATAGTAATAGATATCCTATTTAAAATAACATAAAATACTTGAGAGTATATCTGCCCAGACAAACCTAGGAACTGTATGAACAGAATTATAAAACACTTTTTGAACAAATAAAGTCAGATTTAAATAATTGGGGCAGTATTAATTGTTCATGGTTGGGCAAAGCCAATATAATAAAAATGACAATTCTACCAAACTAATCTGCTTCAATGCCATTCCAATTAAATTACCAAAAATTATTTTATTGAGCTAGAAAAAAAACAGGAATTAATTGGAAAAAATGTAAAAGAAGGAGGCTTAGCAGTACCTTATCTTAAACTATATTTATAAGGTGGTAATTATCAAAACTTTTTGGTGCTGGCTAAGAAATATAAAGGTGAATAAGTGGAACAGAGTAGATATACAATACACAGTAGTAAATGATAATAGTAACCTGTGTGTGACAAACATAAAGATTTATGCTTATGGGACTATTTGGTAAAAAAAAAAAAATTATTGGGAAAACTGGAAAATAGTCTGGCAGAAAATAGGTATAGACCAGTTTCTTAAATCATTTACCAATATAAAGTCAAAATAGATGCATGACCTAGATATAAAGGGAGATACCATAGTAAGTTAGAAGAACATGGAACATATTACCTTTTAGAATTATGGATATAAGAAGAATTTATGAATAAACAAGAGATAGAGAACATTGTGAGATGTAAAATGGATAATTTTGATTACATTAAATTAGAAAGGTTTTGTACAAATAAAACCAATGTAGCCAAGATTAAAAAAGAAAAACAGAAAACTGGGAAATTTTTATGGACAGTTTCTCAGATAAAGGTCTCATATTTCAATATATAGAGAACTTTGTCAAATTTGTAATAACATTAGTCATTCCCCAATTGATAAATGGTCAAAGGATATAAACAAGGCAGTTTTTCAGTGAAGAAATCAAAGCTACATATAGTCATATGAAAAAATGTTCCAAATCATTATTGATTAGAGAAATGCAAATTAAAACAACTTTGAGATATCATCTTATACCTATCAAGTTGGCTAAAATGATAGAAAGGGAAAATGACAAATGTTGGAGGGGTTGTAGAGAAATTGGGACGCTAATACACTGTTGGTGTAACTATGAACTAATCCAACCATTTTGGAAAGCAATCTGGAATTATGCCTAAGGAATTATAAAAGTGTGTATACACTTTGACTCAGCAATACCAGTATTAGGTCTGTTTCCCAAAGTGGTTAGGGAAAAAGGAAAAAAAAACCTATATGTTCTAAAATATTTATAGCAGCTCTGTTAGTGGTGGCAAAGAACTGGAAATTGAGGGGATACCCATCAACTGGGGAATGACTAAACAAGTTGTGGTATATGGTTGTGATGGAATACTCCTGTGCTGTAAGAAATGATGAGCAGGTTGATTTTAGGGAAAAAACAAAACAAAACGTGGAAAGATTTGCCTGAAATAATGAAGAGTGAAATGAGTAGAACCAAAAGAATGTTGTGTACAGTAACAGCAATATTGTTTAAAGAACAACTGTTAATTTTATTCTGAGTATTATAAATACTTACATCAACTACAAAGGACCTATGAGGGAAGATGCTATCTACCTCCAGAGAAAGAACCAATAAATAGAAGTATGCGTAGTATGGTTTTACATATGTATACACACATACACATAAATACATATACACATACATACACATGTGCATGCATGTGTATATATATGTATATATATCGATATCTATTGTACATGTAGATATGTGTATGTATGTGTATATGTCTCTCTCTATATATACACACATATCTACATATGTATGTATATATCTGTGTCAAATGGCCTTCTCTAGCACAAGGTAGAGAGAGAGGTGGGAGACAGTTCAGAAATTAAAATGTAACCAAAAATTAAATAAAAATAATTTTTAAAAATGTAATATTGCCCTTAGGCTTATGCCAATATGACAACGAACAGTTTGTAAAGAGAGAAAAAATGATTGAGTCTTACCCATTATTTGATTTCAGCCTCCATTCAAAAGACTGTCAGTTGGCTGAAACAAAGGGATTTTTTCTAACACAATCATTTCTGCCTAGGTCCTCCTAAGACAACTGAATCAATTCACTCTTTTTTGTTTTTTTCCCAGCCTTTCAATATATTAATTCACCCAGGCTGATTGAAGATTCATTGTAATTTGTTGCCTAAAGTGATATTTACATATGTGAATGGAATTAACTAAGAACTAATTGTCTTTTCAGGAATGTATATATTTTCCACAAACCAAATTCATATATCTATAGCTATCAGAAGTCAGAGTTTAAGGTAAGTGAAGTATTAATCTTCTTCTTTTTAAGAATCAAATCACATTAGGGCATGGAACCCTTAGCTTTATCAAACATTTATGAATCTGTTGTCACATTTATATATGAACTTAACTTTTATGGTTTGTGATCAGTGATTTTTATTCAAACTACCACAACTTTTATCTGCTTTACTTTATCTCCTTAATCTGTGTGGACAAGTGCTCCTATATCTGCCTGGCCAACTGCTTTTAGGTTCCTAATATGGGTAGACAAGTAGGCTAATTAATAAATTGCATTGTTATATACAAACCACATGTAACATACTTTGATTTCAAGGGATAAATACAGACATTTTGTCTTCCAAACATCTTCTAAGCCTCTTATTTTTCTTTGTCTCTATTATTTCTGCCCATATTTAAGGGCAGGAGGTAGCAGGGTTAAGAAGTATCCAGGAAGATTCATTGTAGGGCATCAGTTGCATGTAACCTAATTTCACCTTGCAATTAGCCACAAGCTAGTCTTGTCTTTTATTGCCCAGCAATCACTTTTAAAGTACTGGGCACCCACAATTTCTCTAGTCCAAGCTGAGTGGTCCTTAAGACTGTCCTGAGAATCAGAAACTGTACTGTGACATCTTAAGGACCCCACACTGCCCTGTGGACACCCTTTGGATTTTTCACCAGACAAACGTCAATCCTGAAAGTTCAATGGGCCCTGGAAAGCAGTCCATTCAAGGCTAATATTGAGCTCTTCTGTGAACTCAGGGCCTTACTACTATAATCAGAATCTCCAGGCTTTTTCCTCTGCTCCTAAGTAGCCCTGCTGAGGTACCTGGACCTCTAGTGCAATTTCCATTGTCCCAAGTAAAACCAGTTTGTTGATTCAGTGAGCCCCATGGCTACAACTTTGCTCTCAACGTGACTTTAAATTGACTATTAGGAACACTTTTTGACCAAGGCCTGAAAGGAAATTTAAACAGATAGTAACCTGTTCCTGATGTCAGGCTGCTTACTTTCCCTCAAATTCCCATACTTATACCCTAAGCAGGAAGCGATCAAATGTATATTAAGGTCGGTTCAATCCATTTGTTGTAGCAGTGCTAAAGTGTTTTATGGGAATTGTTGATTTCGTGCATATAATACTTAATACTTTAATACCAACAGAAGGAACCACTTCTGTCTTCCGAAAAGATTCCCTCCCAGTTATTGTTTAAACACATGGTTCCTGCATCAAGGCAGGTTCTCTAATCCACACATCAGAGTCTGGGCCCAGGTGTATCCTAGAGTTAGATCTGGTTCCAGTTTATACTCATAAACTACATTAAATTTTGTATCTACCAAAGGAGCAAGAGTAGATGAAATATCCAGATAAGGAAATAGTCTAGAATTGGGTTAGGGTCTCAATATTATAGTGATGACTAAAATGAATCTCAAATGATAATCTTTGTGGGAAGTACAGGAGTGGGAGCTCAAGTTGATTGCATTAGAGAGATGCATAGAGAGAGAGATATGCTAGTGAATATTTAACAACTGGCTCTTTGGGAAAAAAATGTATGGCACAATGAATTTTTAAGTGTAATCTTCTTTATTAAAAATGTCCCCATTATTTTTTTAAGTCTAGACAATCAACAAAACAATAAATCAAGCCCTGAATTGTAGTCTTTATAGATTTCTGAGTTATAAATGCTCACACTGAAAATTTAACACTAGGCTCTTAAAAACACGTTGGAGCTGGCGTAAGCATATTTCCCTACCCTAACTACTCAGGAGTATCCTTAAAACCCTGAGGAGGTAATGTTGCTGTGGGACTTGAGACTCATAGGTGAGAGTGGAACCTGGGATAAAGATGCCTTAGAGATTACATGGACTACATTGGAATTTAAGAAAGCCCTTTTTGAGTTTGATAGCATAGATCCAACTGGTAGAGCAATTATCTCAAAACGAATTTGCAAAAGAAAGCATTTGCTGTAACCATCATAAATTAATGCATTCTGCCACAAAATTTGATTGAAAGTATAAAAACATTGAAGGGCACGCATGCAATCATATAATTAGCTGCTGTTGCTACAAGGAGAATGGTAGAGCTATCAAGGAATATTTATACAGGTAATAGTTAGCATTTATATAATGCTTTCAGGTTTGCAAAGCACTTTACAAATACGATCTCATTTTATCCTTGATGATATTATCCCCATTTTACAGATAAGGAAACTGGAGGCAGACAGCAGTTAAGTGACCTTCCCAACATCACACAGCTAGTAACTATTCTGACTCCAGCACTAGTACTCTATCCACTGCATTACCTAACTGCCTAGCTAATATAGATGTCGAACACATCATGGCAGAACCAACTCAATGAGAAGGCATTTGAAGATTATATTAATATTTAGCTAAGACATACAGTAGAATACAAACAGCATATTACAAAGACAATACCAAAAAAGACCACACAGAATGAAATCCATCAAAGAAAAGTGCATATATCAGAAAGTCCAGAGTCCCTTACTCAGCAATTGAAAACAAATGTCAAACGGTAACAAAGTGTCAAAAAGATAATGCAAGAATTTAAAGTAGTGTAAAGGACATACTAAGTAAATCAAAACCAATTTTTTAAAAAAAAAAAATCTTTACTTCAGAGGCTTGAAAAAAGAGAAATTGGAGGAGAGAGAGAACTTCTGAAGAAAGAGGATGTGGAAAAATCTGTCACGAAAAGTCCAGTACAGAAGAACAAATTGTATAAACAAGAAACAGAAAACTTCTACACAATTAATGTAATGAGCAACAGAAATTAAATTAAGGTCAAAACTGGGAAAGCAGAGTGGTTGGAGAAGATCTGTAATTATGGGCTCTCACATTTCACAGGGGTGCATGAATTACCCTCCAAGCAATTTGCCAGCTTCCTTTCAGATATAAGCTGGATTCCACCTTTCATAAGAGAAGACATTACATACCTGCTGTTCAAAGATAAGAACAAGTTACCTACAAATGCAGTCTAATTACATTTATATACTTGATACAAAGCAATCCTAGCTTGTGTCACTAAAAAGTCTAAAAACAATGACAAGAAGGCAATGTAGTGGTTGATAAGCAAAAAGAGTGTGTCAGAGTCCAAAGGGTGTAAAGAATAAGAACTTGTTAGTTTAGTCGTTTGTTCATTTATCATTTGTCCTTTGTTCTCAGAGAGGACCATGACATCAGGAAGGTGGTGTCATGACTTGTAAGTGAATTGAATTTAAGTGAGGGAGGGCTGTGTAAGGTTACCAGTCTCACTTTCTCCTCTGGAACCATCTGGGTCCAGTGGCAAGATATAGCTAGATCAGGATGACTGGAAATGGCCCTGGATGCAGTGGGAGACCTTGGCCTTGTTAACCTAAGGTCTTTCCCAGGTCTCAGTTTGACTGAGGTCTGTTAGTTAAGTAAAACCCACCTAACAGCTCCATAATATCTAAACTGCCTTCATTGATTATCACAAAGCCTTTCTTTCAGTTCTATACTAATGACTTAGTCTTTTACTGCAAATATATAAAATATATCCAACTATAATGAGAATAAATGACTTAAACATTTGTTATATGCTTAATATGTACTAAGCAGTATGTAAATACGTAAGTATGCAAATATATATAATATAAACTGTATACTTATAATTTATAAATACATATATAAAATGTTATACTAATAGAAAAGTAAGACAGTTCTTCCTCTCAAGAAGGGCACATTTTAATGAGGGAGGATGCTGGCATATTTGATGCAAACATGGAAAACCATTCTTTATTTAAAATATGCCCCCAATATAATACTGTCAAGAAAAATTAATATAGGGACAGCTAAGTGATGCGGTGCAGAAAGCACTGAGCCTGGAGTCAGGAACAGCTGAGTTCAAATATAGCCTCAGACACTTCACTAGCTGTGTGACTCTGGGCAAGTCAGTTAACCTCTTTTTTCATCAGTTTCCTCATCTGTAAAATGTGGGTAATAATAGCACCTACCTCCCAAGGTTGTTATGAGATCAAAGAGATAATAATTGCAAAGTGCTTAGCACAGTGCCTAGTAGAAATTAAGTGCTTTATAAATGCTAGCCATTATATAAAACATGGTATTTTTCAGTGAGGTCGATTAAGCCCATTATATTTCTGCCTAGCTATAAATTCATTATAATTTTCCAAACTAGAACTAAATGTAGTTTTCAAGTTAAACAGAACCTTATTAATTACCTGATATACAGAGATGATATCAAATTAGTTGAGTAAACAAGCAGAAAACTGCACATGAAACAGCTCCTTCATCTCATGGAATCTTTCTCCAATAATATAAAAATAACATTTGAACCGATTAAGTGTAATATTGTTGATGTGCATCAAGGAAAGGTAAAGGCTAAAAAAAGGTGTCAAGCTTAAATCTGGAAATTACATTGAACCATTGGATAAAACAAGTTCTATTTTTTCAGTGGGACTCACATAGAACCCCACTGAAATCATGAGAATTAGATAAAAATTATGATTTTATATAACATTTGAAGATTTGCAAAATACTTTGCTCTTGACAACCCTCTAAAATAAGTAGTGCGAGTATTATCCTCATTTTACTTTCCTTGCAAATAGAGAAGGATATATGTTTTTGTCAGGCTGGTGGACCTTTGCTAACACAAACCACAGCTCATAATTAATGTGGACTTAGTAGACAAGGCCATGGGTTTTGCCTGAAGCACTGAAAGTTAAGTGACTTGATCAGGGTTCTGCAGTTATTTTCAGAGGAAGGGTTTTAACACAGATCCTCCTAAGTTCCTCATATTCCCCATGGTGCCATGCTGCTTTTATTCCTATCTTATCAATGAGGAAACTGATGATTCAAGAGATCAAGTGACTTGTCCATAGTTACTGAACTAGTCTCACTTGGGATAGTCCTTATCCTCTAATTTTACCACTGGTTAGTTGTTTCTGAAGTTATAGATTACTATCGGGGAGAAACATGAGAAAACTCATAGGAACTGATACATAGAAAAGTAATCAGTTACCAGCTGGTTAGTTGTTTCTGAAGTCATAGATTATAGCAGGGAGAAACATGAGAAAACTCATAGGAACTAATACATAGAAAAGTAAGCGAAACTAGGAAAACTGTACACAGTAACTACCATGATGTAAATGGAAAGAAGAGTAAAATGAAACTGAATGATATATAATTACAATAAGCAAACTTGGCTCCAGAAGAATTGAGAAAAAGTACTTCCTTCCCTTCATTGAACAGATTAGATTCTATAGTATAGAAGAGCTTGAGGACTGTGCAGAACAAAACAGATAATCAAAACTGGTTAGTTTTGCTGAACTGTTTCTTTAAACCTTTGTTACGAAGAAGGCTTGCTGGGGAGCGGTTAAGATATGCTTGGAATTTTTCTTCTGCTTGCATATTAAATTACTTCCTACTTATGAGGAAATTATATAGAAAAGTTTAAGAAATACAAGACCTATTATATTCACTTTACAAATATGCCTTATGTTATGGTATGAACTTTAAATGAAAAATTGAAAAGTCTAATTATAACATTACTAGCCCTGAATCATATATTATTTGCCCCTGTTCTTTCAGTCCACAGATGACCGAGTGTTCTATTATTTATTTGTGGATAGTCTGAAGCCTATTGAACTTCTGGTTTGCTTTTCTGCATTGGTACGCTGGGGAGAATCTGGAGGTAAGAGATCTATGAAGAAAATAAGTACAATTTTTGTGAGGCTAGGGAAGGTACTATGCAATTAAAACAGAGAGAGAGAGCATGCAGTTTACACTTATTGCCTCAATTTCCTCACCACACTGATACTCTTCAGCTCCTTGCAATCTGACTGCCAACCCTGCTGCTCTACTTGAATAGTTCTCTTACAGGTCACCAGTGGTTAATTGCTAAATGGATGCCCTATTCTCAGCCCTTTTCCTTCTTGACATTTCCACAGTATTTAATACTGTGGCCCTTGTCACTTCCCTTAATCTTACCTTACATGCTAGAGCTTTTCCCTGGTACTTCTATGTCTGACCACCTCTTCTCTGTCTCCTTAATTGGTACTTTATGCTTTTCCCACCCCATTAATGTGACTATCTCCAAGATTCTGGTGACTATCTCTAAGATTCTGTCCTCAGGTCTTCTCTCCCCTAGACTGGGCTTTCCTCTCTAATTCCATCCTATGACTTAAATTATCTTTTTTTATTCAATTAATTCCCTAAAATTTCTCCTGAATTCTAGTTCTCCATTTCTAACTGACTGCCAAATATCTCCACCTGGATATCTGGCCCAGATCTCAAATTAAACATACTGATCCCAGCACCTCTACACCCAAACCACCCTTAACTTACCTCTTTTTTTATTTTTTTGGTGAGGCAATTGGGGTTAAGTGACTTGCCCAGAGTCACACAGCTAGTGAGTGTTATGTGTCTGAGGCCGGATTTGAACTTAGGTCCTCCTTACTCCAGGGCTAGCGCTCTATCCACTGTGCCACCTAGCTGTACCCAGCTTACCTCTTTTAGTCGATGTTACCATCATCTTCCCAGTCATTCAGACTCATTAAGAAAACAACACCACCTTTTATATCTTCTCTTCCCCTTACCTATAATATCTTTTAAATCTATCCCCTTTTCTCTTGTTATATTGTCACTCTTAATTCCCTCTTTCACATATTTTTCCAAAATTATTGACTCTCATTCTGTGTCAGTGTCCTCTAAGTCTTTGTACTGAATCTCCTCCTCTTCACTCCCTGTCCCTTCTCTTCTCTTCTCTTCCACTCTCTTCTCTTCTCCCCTTTTCTCTCCCTACCCTCTCTCAGAGTGCTTATTTGTCATCAAGGCTCTAATTATTTATTTTTATAGAATCTTTATTTTCAGTTCTCATCTCCCTCCTGAACTCCAGTCCTCTATCGCCAAACGCCTTCAGAACATTTCTACTTAAATGTCTTGTCAGCATCTCAAAATTAATGTCTAAAGCTAAGCTGATTATTTCTTCCTGTCTCTGCCCCCAAATCTGACCTTCATCCAAATTTTCCAATTTCTGTTTTTTTAAAAATATATTTATTAATTTATCTATTTGTTTTTAACATTCATTTAAAAATTTTCAGTTCCAGATTATCTCTTTCCCTCCAGTCTCTCCCTCACCAATTGAGAAGGCAAACAATATGATACCCCTTTTCCATGTTACCAAAAAGCAAGAAAAAATAAAGTAAAAAAAAAATGCTTCATTCTGCACTCAGAGTTCATTGGTTTTTTGTCTTAAGGCACATAGCCTTTTTTTATCATGAGTCTTTTGGAACTGTCTTGCATCATTGTCTTGATCAGAGTAGCCAAGTCTTTCACAGTTGATCATCCTTGTGGTATTGCTATTGTTGTGTATAGTGTTCTCCTGGTTCTGCTCACTTTATTGTGCATCAGTTCATGTAAGTCTTTCCTGGTTTTTCTGAAATCCGCCTGCTCATCATTTTTTTTTTTTTTGAGGCAATTGGGGTTAAGTGACTTGCCCAGGGTCACACAGCTAGTAAGTGTCAAATGTCTGATCTGAGACCGGATTTGAACTCAGGTCCTCCTGACTTCAGGGCGGGTGCCCTATCCACTGCGCCACCTAGCTGCCCCCTCATCATTTCTTATAGCACAATAATATGACATTACAATCATACACCACAACTTGTTCAACCATTTCTCAATGGGCATCCCCATAATTTCCATTTCTTTGCCCCAGTTTCTATTAATGTGGTACTACTACACAGTCACCCAGGTTGAACGTTGGAATCATCCATACTCTTTCCTCTTCTCCATTTCCACAGCTAGTCAGTCAATAAATCTTGCCAGTTTATCCCTTCATAACATCTCTTGCATCTATTCCTTTCTCTTCACACATAAAGTGAACACCTTTGTTCATGGCTTTCATCACTCCTCACCTCTACTGTTGGAATAACCTCTTAGTCATACTCCCTGATTTTCTGCTCTGTCTTCTTCAAACCATTTTATACAGAGATGTCAAAATTATTTTTCTAAGGCACAGACCATGCTACTCCCCTACTCAAGGAATTTCACTGGTTCCCTTTTGGTTCCAGAATAAAGTGCAAATTGCTCATCTTGGCATTTAAAGATCTACACAATATAGGTTCATGTCTGCCTTTCTAGGAATTTCATTCTTTTTTTCCACAAATTCTTTAGACAGACTGTCTTTCTCATAAGTTAGATCAAAGGAAATAATATATGTAAAGCACTTACAAACCTTGAAGTACTATATAAATGCTAGGTATCATCATCATTATCATCAGGAAAGTACTCTCTTCTTACCTCTGCCTTTTACAATCCTTATCTTCCTTCAAGTCTTAGATTATCTCCTAAACAAAGCTGTTCCCAAGCCCCAATAATTAGTGATCTCCTTTCTCAAATTACCTCATGCTTATTTATCTGTTGACATATTATATTCTCCAGCAATACATAAAATTTTTTAAGGTCAGTAAGTGTTTTTCATTTCTGTCTTTGTATATCCATTCAGGAGCTAGCACCAGGTACAGTACTTTGCCTGTAATAGATGTTTAATAAATACTTCTTGAATTTAATAAAATTGAACACGATTTAAGGCTCTAAGGTGTCCCATGGGTTGATGATCAGACTTCATCCTTAAAGAACAGTGGCACACCATTTTAACTTGATTTTCTTTACTTTTTTCTTAAAGCCTTACAGAAAGATAGTCCTATCATAGAACCTGGCCTACTTACAGCAGAAACGTTTTCTTGGAAATCTCTGACTCGGCGGAATCTTGTGCTGAAGATACATACATATGCTACCAAAGCTACAATGGTTCGCCTTCCTGTTGGGTGTGTAATTGTCTTGGCTTCTCTAATTACAGGAATCTCCTGACATCCTGAATAACTATTATAAAATTCAATAGTATTGTCTAAGACCAAGTTATCAAACCACCTGAACCATATTAAAATTTAATTAGGAAATGTTAACAAAATATAAAAACATAATGTAAAAAATGTTAGTTCATAGTTCTTTAAGTCAATATGCTGCCTGAAAGAATCTGTTTCTATTTGAATTTGATACCATTGGTCTTAAGAAATCCTTCACAGTTTATGGTTAGATCACTAATTGTACAATTTTAATTTAATATAACTTTTACTTGCAAAAATAAGAAGTTTATTAAATGTGACCGATTTGATAATTTCCCTCAAATTCGACAATTTAAATAGTTTTTAAGTAGTAACTCGTTACATATGATATGGAAGAAATATCTACTCTGTCAAATGTAATATTAAACAAGATGTTTTTGGTATGAATCCAAATCTCAATCTTGTTCATAAAGAAATTTAGTGGACTTTATATAATCAGTGACATCCCCTTCCCCTGCCTCCTACTATCAAGGATGTGGGACCTATTGTCCTGTTCTTCTGTACATTTCAGGGGCCAGAAAATAAATTATGAAATATAAAAATTGGCATATAGTACCTAAGGACACCCTTCAACTCTCAGGGTATAGTTCATAGTTAAGGTATTCTGTGGATCTGACCTTGGAATGTAAACTCCTTGAGGGCAGGGGCCATGATTTTGCCTTTCTTTGTATCCATAGCATTTATAACAGTGCTTGGACCATGTTAAATGCTTAATAATACTTGTTTCCTAGCTATAATTGAAGTCTCCAAGCCCTTATGAGTGTGCTTACCTTGAACAGTCAGCCAGAGAATGCAATTATTTAAAGCCAAGGCAGTCAATAAAATGACATAATAAGAAATAGAGCAACAAGGTGTTTTCCCCATAAGCCTTTCCAACGCTTACATATTACTTCAAGAGGAAGAATCAACACCCATAGGGAACATACCTGGAGAGGTACATATGTAAGGAAACTGTACGGCCAACATACTTACTTGGAGGAATAAATCAAGACTTTGATACTCTGGGGCCACTGAGGTCTTCTGGTCATGTCATCATGCTGCTTCTGTCAGGCCTGCTTCATGCTGTTCTTGCAGCCTTTGCTAGACACATAATCTTTGCACAAAGCTACTCAACTAGGTCTCCCCCTGCTTCCAGCTGAAAGCAAATTCTTGAAAAAATGGATGATGCCATGCTTTTCTTTTTTTAGTATAAAGCCTATATGTATACTTTCTCCAACTTGTTTTTAGAAAAGGCAGAAAAACCTGTGCTCTGAAAACCAGGCAAAAGCTTCTTATGTCTTGTTCCCCTAGAAATATGCCTTCTGTGCTTACTCATCTCCCTAGACAAGAATTCCCAACCTGGGGTCCATGAACTTTTAAAAAATATATATTTTGATAATGATATTTCAATATAAGTAATTTTCTTTGTAATCTTGTGTATTCTATTTAATGTATTTTAAAGTATTATCCTAAGAAGAGGTCCATAGGCTTCACCAGAGTTCCAAAGGATCAATGACACACACAAAAAGTTAAGAACTCTTGCTCTAGAAAGACATTTTTAGCCCCTTGGATGCCAAACTCATTAGAACAAAAAACAGGATCACCTCAGCTAACTAGTGCTCTTAGACACAGTCTTTTCTCTGGACTCCTGAGTTTGGGGCCCTTCAGTCAGATATGTATCATTCATATATACACATATACATATATACACATATGATATATGTGATTATTCCACATATATGTGTATGTATATATATGATTATTTTACATATTTCACATTTTTACCTCTGAAGGCCAGAGCATAAACCAGGTGAAAGTTATTTGTCCAATAAATAACAAACTGCCCTGAAATTTAGTATTCCTTAGTTTTTCCACAGTTCTACTATAAGTCTCTTGTTCCATGGAGATGAGCAAATAGGGGAAGACAAAATAAAACAACTACTACAAGAAGGGACCATTCTAAGCCCAGGGACCAAGGCCATCATGACTGCTCCCTGTTCAGCTATACTCCTGGCCCTTTCATGTGCAGGAGGCACCATCATACTCTGAAAGAGACTTATTCCAGATTTAAGACATAGCTCAAATTGCTCAAAATTAGGATAAGAAAGAAAAAAGGGGGCCTTCTTACACCTGCCTATTTTCTATCTGCTAAAGGAGTTAATCAGTCAAGAAAGTAGTGATTATACCGCTGGGGCCAGCCAAAGTTAATGAATTAATCAAAGGCTGGTTTTGCTTCTCTGTTTCTCCAGCAATCAATCAGTTAGAAAATTGCTGTTATAAGCCTAGCAATATACTAGGTCTATGGGGAATATTAAAGTACAAGAAATGGTCTGTGTCCTTTAGGAGCTTACAGTCTAGTTAAGAAAACAAAAATAATGGGCTAACAATCTTCCAAGAACAATTTAAGTGTTAAGGAGTTTCCTTTAGTATGATACTCTTGGTAGCAGGAGATGGTTTTTTTTTTTTAATTTTGAACAATGAATGGAAATGTTTAATTGATAACTGTTTCTTCACTGTAGAAATTATAAGATCTGGACTCAGTTTCTATGGTCCTGATCAGCTGTAAAGTTTTCTTATTTATCCCTTTGGTCTTTGCCATCGGAAAAAGATATTCCCATCTGCTTAGATTGGTTATTGGACTTCTTAGCATGCTGAGACTTAGAGGGACACATAGTTGCCCTCTAAATTTGCTTCCTAAAACTAACACTACTTCAAAGAGAATGTTTAGTTATCCTATTCTGTCTTCTCTTTTTAGGCGGCATATGTTAATTTTTACTGCGCATTCACCAGTAGGACATCATATTCACCTGTGCAGCATGGTATCCTTTATCTTTGGAGAAGAAGATGTTGTTATGCCTTATTTTGAGAAGGTACATGTTATAACGATTGCTTTTAGACTTAATTGTTGGCCATGGCTTGGTTTGGACTACTGAAAACTTTTAGTTGCTTTTTGCATTCAGAACTTGGAACCTGAAGGGTAATTACAGAATTGGTTGAGAAAGAAAAAGATGACTGGATTGTGAACTCCTTTACCTTTCTTTTTATCCTTAGTGCTTAGCACTAAAATGTCTTCATTTTATTGAGATAAAATATAAAATTTAAAATATAATTTTTATGCAAGGATCTTCTGAACTGTCATATAAACAAGTAAATGGAACTATTCTTTTATCATTTAAATTTCATAAGTTTTGAAACAAAAAATATGACAGATATTCCCAATGATAATTTAATGCAACAAATTATGAACAAGGCATTTTGATAGTCTTGGGAATACAAAGATAAATATCAAATAATCCCTACTTTCAAGAAATTTATCTTTTACTGCAGTATGAAAATAAATACAATTCAAGGTAGTAGATGCAAGGTTTCAATGCACGCCTATATTAACACTTGAAAAATAACAAGTTGAACAGCATCCACAAGCACCATAATTCAAGGAGCCACTAAAAGCATTTGTGGAAATTTTGTATGAAATGCAATCTAATATCTGACCCTTCAATTTCAACAAATGATTGAGTTATTTTTTTCCCCAGATTTTTAAAAAAAAGAAATGAACTTGTCAACTCAACTCTCTGTTGATTGACACAGTTTTTTTTCCCTCTTCTCTAACTTTGTCTCTTTTAAAATCTGTGAACATGACATGAAGATGAGGTTTATCCTCCAAAGACACTAAACAAAGGATTAATCGAGGGATTATGATCAAACTCAATTTAAATTATGTTGATTTAATTAAAAAATACATATAGTTGAAAATTTATAGAAAACTATTTTTTAGATTAGCCTTGAATTTGTGCTTGAAACAGTCTATAATACTGGAGCCTCTCAGTATTGCAGCTTGGGAATGTGATATATTTATATCATTAATATTCATATCAATAGCAGCTGTGTTATATCCTGTTGGAGGGTTTAAATGGTTTAAAATGTTATAGATGAGGATGGAGTCATTCCTTTTCTTAAGGAGTTGAGAGACAGGTATACCTCTTTTTATGCAACTAATATGCTTCAGAAAAATAAACTGAATTTTTAATAAATATTATTCATATTAACTGTCATTTTAGTTTCTTAACTGTCTTCTCTTCATTTTTATTTATTCAGTTAGCGTGATCCCCTACCACTTTAGCTTTACATTTCTTTGACATTCATACCATAAAGTAGTGAATGATACGGAAATAATGGCTGAATATACTAGAACTATTTGAAAAATGAATTCTTTTAGGGTGTGAATGATTACCCCCTAATTTATATTTCATCCTATTCTATTTTCATTAATCAAATTTTCATAAATTGGGACAAAGCAAACAAAACAAAAATTGAAATGTTATAGGATTTTCAGTATGTAGCAAATTCATTTTGCATGTTACTATATATTATTTATATCAAGTCAATGGGAAGGAACAAAGTCATTTCCCTTCTTTGAGTCTATGAACCTATAATTAAGTAAATAATTGAATGATTTAGCAATTCTCATATTAGTAAAATATGAGAGTCAATGTGGTGTAATGAATAGAGAGCTGTCCTCAGAGTTAGGAAGAATTCAGGTCTCTTCTTGTAGTAGTTGTTTTATTTTGTCTTCCCCTGTTTGTTCATCTCCATGGAACAAGAGACTTATAGTAGAACTGTGGAAAAACTAAGGAATACTAAATGGCTGTGTAAGACTAAGTTACAGAACAGGTGCTTCTCTGCATTAGATGAAATTTATGAATATATGAATGAAATCCCACGTTCAGTTTAAAAAATATAGTAGTAGGGAGATTCAACGGGGGCGAAGCCAAGATGGCGGAGGGAAAGCAGTCACTGTCTTGAGCTCTTTCCCAAAGTCCTCCAAATACCTAAAAAAATGGCTCTAAACACATTCTAAAGCAGCAGAACCCACAAAAAGATATAGTGAAACAAATTTCCAGCCAAAGACAGCCTGGATGGTTGATTGGAAAGGTATATTGTGCCTCAGACCAAACACTTGACACTTACTAGCTGTGTGACCCTGGGCAAGTCACTTAACTCCAATTGCCTAAAAAAAAAAGAAAGAAAAGTATGTTGTGCTGGGCAGGGAAAGGAACTCAGTTCGGCGTGGGTGCGCAGGCCGCAGCTACCCTGAAGCAGGCCTCAGAGGACTGAATTGCGGGCAGCTGTGGCAGTCTCCAGACTTCTCAACCCAGGAATGCCAAAGACAATGTGGAAGGTCATTGGGAAAAGTCTGTGACTGTGGTGAGATAGGAGCTAGGTCTCAGCCACAAGTCTCGAGCTCGGCCCAGGGCTGTGGCTTTTTCCTGGGCTTCCAGCCCACAGACTGAGGGGGAATCCAGTGGCTGATCAGAGGGGGATTGCAGGGATCTCTTTGCCAGTGCTGAGGCAGGAATCTCTTGCTTTGCCCATGCTTGGGTCGGGGTCACAGTTGTGAGGGGCGGTCCTGGGGTGAGAAGGAATGCTGGTGTGGTGGAGCTTGTTGTGGTGGTGGAGAGAAAACTACTTGCCCCTTATCATACCACCTTGGAAGAACTGAAAATTTTCAGGTCCCAAGAAGTACCTCTGAAAACAGCTGTACAAACCCCGAAGCTTGGGACAATACACTGTTCACATTGGAAGCAGACTTTTACCTTAACAAAGAGTTTATCATGAGTAAGCAGTGCAAAAAGAGTCAGACTATATTATCTTACTTTGGTGACAAAGAAGATCAAAACATACAACCAGAAGAAGACAACAAAGCCAAAGGTCCTACATCCAAAGCCTCCAAGAAAAATATGAATCAGTCCCAGGCCTTGGAAGAACTCAAAAGGGATTTTGAGAAGCAAGTAAGAGAAGTAGAAGAAAAACTGAGAGTGATGCAAGAAAATCATGAAAAACAAGTCAACAGCTTGCTAAAGGAGACCCAAAAAAATACTGAAGAAAATAACACCTTAAAAAAATAGCCTAACCCAAATGGCAAAAGAGGTCCAAAAAGCTAATGAGGAGAAGAATGCCCTAAAAAGCAAAATTGGCCAAATGGAAAAGGAAGTCCAAAAGCTTACTGAGGAAAATACTTCCTTAAAAACTAGAATAGAGCAATTGGAAGCTAGTGACTTTATGAGAAATCAAGACACTGCAAAACAAGTCCAAAAGAACGAAAACTTAGAAAACAATGTGAAATATCTCATTGGAAAAATAACTGACCTGGAATATAGATCCAGGAGAGAGAATCTAAAAATTATTGGACTATCTGAAAGCCATGATCAAAAAAAGAGCCTAGACATCATCTTTCAAGAAATTATCCAGGAAAACTGCCCTGATATTTTAGAACCAGAGGGCAAAATAGAAATTGAAAGAATCTACCAATCTCCTCCTGAAAGAGATCCCCAAAGGAAAGCTCTTAGGAATACTGTAGCCAAATTCCAGAGTTCCCAGTTCAAGGAGAAAATACTACAAGCAGCCAGAAAGAAACAATTCAAGTATTGTGGAAACACAATCAGGATAACACAAGATTTAGCTGCTTCTACATTAAGGGACCACAGGGGATGGAATACAATATTCTGGAGGGCAAAGGAGATAGGATTACAACCAAGAATCACCTACCCAGCAAAACTGAGTATAATCCTTCAGGGGAAAAAATGGTCATTCAGTGAAATAGAGGACTTTCAAGCATTCTTGATGAAAAGACCAGAGTTGAATGGAAAATTTGATTTTCCAATACAAGACTCGAGTGGAACATGAAGAGGTAAACAGGAAAAAGAAAATCATAAGAGACTTATTAAGGTTGAGCTGTTTACATTCCTGCATGGAAAGATGATATTTGTAACTCATGAGACCTTTGTCAGTATTAGAGTAGTTGGAGGGGAAAAAATTATATGTATGTATATATAGATATAGATAGATGGAGGGCACAGGGTGAGTTGGAAATGAAAGGGTCATATCTGGAGAATAAAATTAAGGAGTGAGAGAGGAATATTCTAGGAGAAGGAGAAAGGGAAAGGTAGAATGGGGTAAATTATCCCACAAAAAAAAAAAAAACAGAAAAGAAAAGGCTCTTACAGTAGAGGGGAAACAGAGGAAGGTGAGAGGGAATGAGTGAATCTTATTCTCATAGGATTTGACTTAAGGAGGGAATAACATACACACTCAATTGGGTGGGGAAATCTGTCTTACCCTACAGGAAGATAGGCGGGGAAGAGGACAAGAGAGTAGGGGAATGATAGAGAGGAGGGCAGATTGGGAAAGGGAGTAATCAGAAGCAAATACTTCTGAGGAGAGACAGGGTCAAAAGAAAGAATAGAATAAATGGGTGGGTGGGATAGGATTAAGGGAAATAGAGTTAGTTTTTCACAGCATGTCTATTATGGAAGTGGTTTGCATAACTGCACATATATAACCTATATTTAGTTGCTTGCCTTATCAATGAGGGTGGGTGGGGAGGGAAGAAGGGAGAAAATTTGGAACTCAAAGTTTTAAAAACACATGTTTTAAAAAAAAATGTTTTCACATGCGACTGGGAAATAAGAAATACAGGAAATGGGGTACAGAAATCTGTCCTGCCCCACAGGAAAATTGAAGGGGAAAGGGATAAGAGAAGGGGGGAAGAAATAGAAGGGAAGGCAGACTAGGGAAAGGGGTATTTAGAATGCATGCCATCTTGGGGTGGGGGGAAGGGCGAGATGGGGTGAAAATTTGGAACTCAAAATCTTGTGGAAGTAAATGTTGAAAACAAAACATAAATAAAAAAAATTGAGCACTGGAAAAAAAAAGTTTAAAATATAGTAGTAGGAATAAAATGGCTACACTGTAGATAAGACTTTAATAAATTCAGGTGATAATAGTTGTCTGTTGTATGTCTCCACAGGAAAGCCTACAATTTGTAGAACATGCTGTGAAAATCTTAAAAGCTCTTGGATCTGTTATGAATAATTTCAGAGATAAGGAAAAACTTGGTGTTGCTATGAAAGAATTACGGATGGCTCACTATCCTCCAGACCTTAATGATAAGGAGCTATCAGAACAACACTTCAAGGTAAATGGGTGTATGTGTCTTGTTTCTGAAAGTATATCAGGTTGACACTAGGTTTTGCTTATGTTGTACTTTGTTATTTTTTTCTTATTATTAAATTCTTGGTATGCTATGAAAGGAACCATCTAATTCTATATTCTGAAGTCCCTGGATAATTATTTCATAATCTCATTATTTCCTAGTGTCAGTGTATCTCAGAGTTACAAGGGATCTTGGGTGCCATCTTGTTCAATACATTACTTAACAGTAATCCTTTCCACCAGAAAAGTGGGCATATGTCCTTTGCCTGAAGTCGTTCAGTGAAGGGAATGTACTATTTATGGGCAACTAGGTGGCACAGTGAATACAGCACTGTAGTCAGGAGGACCTGAGTCCAAAACTGTCCTCTGATGCTTACTAGCTGTGTGGCCCTGGGAAAATCACTTAATCTTTGTTTGCCTCAATTTCTTCATCTGCAAAATGGAGATAATAATAGCACCTACCTCCCAGGGTTGTTGTGATGACCAAGTGAAATGATAATTGTAAAGCACTTAATATAGTGCCTGGCACATAGTAGGTAATATACAAATGCTAGATTTCATCATCATCATTATGATTTTTGCTATTCTGTTGAGGCTACCTGTTCTGGATTTGGAGATCTCTAACGGATAAGATGTTTTGCCTTATATCAAATCTAAATTTGCCTCTGTACAACTTCTAACCACTATTCATAATTATGTCCCCTTGGGCCAAACAGAACACATATATTCTTCTTCCATATGTTAACCTTTCTAATCCTCCATGCCCCAAATCTTCTCTTCTAAAGGCTATGACTATTTCCTTCAACCTCTGTTCATTTGACTTAATCTTGTAACCCTTTGCCATTCTAGTTTCTATTCACCCGAGACTCTCTGACTTATGATTGGCCTTCTTAAATGAGAGAATTATAAATCAACACTGTCCTTTAAAAATGTAGCCTGACCAAGGATGAGTGTAGGTGAATTCCTGCCTACCTTTTCCCAGATCTTGTGCCTCTCAATGCAACCTGAGTTTACATGAGCTTTTTTGTTTTCCATTTCACCCTTTATGCACATTAAACTTCTTTTTGGCTCTTTACCACCATTTACTTGTGAAGTAGCTTTTTTTGAACACAAGTAAGATAATTTGAACTACCTTACAAAATCTCATCTAATACTATTTATATAACACTATATACCATCCACTGTGCTAAGTGCTTTATAATTAATTTCATACTTGATCCTCATAACAACCCTGGGAGGTAGTTATTGTTATCTCTATTTTACACATGAGAAACCTGAGGCAGACAGAGGTTATTTAACTTGCCCAGGGTCACATAACTAATAAGTGTCTACTCTAAGTTGCTCTATCCTGCATTATCTAGCTGCCCCCTTATTATATTCAACCCAGTTTTCTAATATCTCAGTATATTTATGGATGTTGATCTTGTTATACAATATGCTAGCTATTCCACCTAGTAGTCAATTTAACAAGCATTCCATTTATCCCCTTATCCAAGACATTGATAAAAATATTGAATGGCACAGGGCCAAGTTTAGAATCCTGTGGTGTACCACCTGAAACCTTCTTTCAAGCTGATACTGAACCATTAATAATTCTCTTTGGCTTTGGCCAATTAACTATTTCTGAATTCACCTACTTGGAGGATTGTTTAGCCCATATCTCCCTGTCTTTTCAATAAGAATAGGATGAGGGACTCATCTACCAGTCTAGTAATAATCAAAAAAGGAAGTGACGTTTATCAGGCATTACCTGTTCTTTATCAAGCCATGCTTACCAACATTCATTTTATCATTGTTTCTTTTTATCAATATTCATTAACCATCATTTTAAATAATGTGTTCTAGAATTTTGTAAGGAATGAAAGTAAAGCTCACTGATCTACAACTTATTCTATACTCTCTTCCCTTTTAGGTAAGATATTCTCCAGTTCTGTGATACTTCTCTTAAAAGTTAGATTATTTACTGTTCAGTAATCACCGATAGTGACTGAATAATCAGATGTACATCTTTCATTTTCTGGGGAGGCAGCATGCCTTAAATGTTACATAAATGTCATTATTCCTTAGTACTCTGTCCTACTGGCAGCTAGGTGGTACAGTGGATCGAATGCCAGGCCTGATGTCAGGAAGACTCATCATCCTGAGTTCAGATCTGGTCTCAGTCACTCACTAACTGTCTGACCCTGTACAAATCACTTAACCCTGTTTGCCTCAGTTTCCTCAACTGTAAAAATGAGCTGGAGGAGGAAATGGCAAACCACTCTAGTATCTTTGTCAGGAAAACCCCAAATGGGGTCACAAAGAGTTGGGCATGATTGAAACAACTGAACTACAACAACAACAACTGTATTTTATCTAGATTGGTTATTACAGAAGAATTTTTTTCCCTCTCCCTTCCTTTTCAGTTTAAAATAGTTTTGGTTAGGTTTAGATTTATAACACTCCTTGTTAGTTATGTCCTGTCCCTGGCAAGTGGTTTACCATTCTTAGATTTTAAGCCATACTCCATAAATCCAAATCTGATTTAATCAATCTTTTAACAAGTCTCTTTTGAGTTCTTGCTATGTATAAGACACTGTGATAGTATTGGTGATACAAAGATAAATCCATACTCAAGGCCTGAAAACAAAAAGATTATTTGAAAGTAGTTACAAAGTATCTATAGTGAATGTGTAATCCTGATAAACTTTTCGAAGTTGTGAGATTTAAAAAAATTAATGCTACAGTGTTTTGTTATTTTATTAAAGTTAAAAGAATGTTTTTATTTATAATTTGTAATTGAGTTTGACACTGATAGGAATACCAAGTAGAAAGACACATTTATTCTCTAAGAGTTCAAAGTTAAATGAGACAAAGTATATGCAAAAGAAAGTTAAGGAATAATGCCAGACAATAATTGATTACCTTCCAGAGTGAATGTTACAGATAATCTGGTATGATTCAAAGAAGGAAGAGATATATAGGAAGTGGAATGTTAGGGGAGGACTTTCTGAAGTTAAGAGTTGAGTTGGGCTTTGAAGAGTGACCAGGATTTGGATTTGTGGATGCCGAAGAACCCTGCAAGTATCTGGAACAGTCAAAATTTAGTATTAAGGTTGAGAATAAGCATGATATGTTTAGGATCCAGGGAATAGATTCCATGATTCTATGTGTTTAAAGATTATCTATGGATATTTGTTATTGTGTAATATATTTTAAATAAATCAAAACTTTCTCTGAGGTCACTAAAATCTCTTAGTTGCTAAATTTAATTACTTTTTTCTCATTCCCCTCTCTCTTTGACTTTTTTTTAATAGAATTTAACTTTTATACCACTCTTTTAATCTTAAAATTCTTCCCTCAGTGTCATTGACACAGTGCCCTCTCCTCGTTCTCTTCTTACTGTTCTGACTGCTCATGTTCTCTTCTTTTATTTATATTCCTCTTTCGACCCTCTAATTGTGGATATCCTATCCCCTCAAGGCTTTGATCTTGAATCTGGTCTCTTCTGTCCTTACCATCTTAATTTTGGCAACCTCATCCATTTTTGTGGATGGCTTTAATTATGATTTCTATGCAGGTAAGTTTCAAATGGTCCAAATCCAGCCTTGGTCTTTACCCTCAGCTCCAGCCTTCTATTTTCAAAATGCTGTTGGACATTTTCCAGTTCTTTCACTTCTCGCCATCTTCATTGCACATACACACACACACACACACACACACACACACAGAGTTACTCCTGCCAACTTCCATATTTCTTTTGTAGCAGTGTAAGTTTAACAAGAACAAAAAGAACGCCAATGGTAATGATAATGCACAGCTTTAAAGATTTCTTATCCAAGATCACCAGTGTGTTGCACATACTAAATACTTGTACATTTGTTGAATTGTGCCTGGAAATGGGGAGCTAGGCTCAGAGTCAGGAAGATTGAGTTTAAATCCCATCTCTGACACATACTGGCTCCAGTCCTAGACAAGACACATAACCTTTCAATGTCATCAGTCAACTCTCTAAGTTTATAAGATGCACTCTTGTAGAAGCATCTCCTCTTTGGGAGCTCTCTACACAGATAAAACCATAGTTACAGTTTTTTTTTTTTAATGAGTTACCCCAATAGGAAAATAATCCTAAATCCTTTTTTTTTTTAACCTAATTGCAGGTTTTCTATCTTTCTCTATGGCGCCTGTTGAAAAAACTATCTGGAGTTAAGGCTCCACCCAATTTCAAATTTGCATTCCGAGCTCTTACTTTGGACTTCTCCACACTTGATACCTTTCCAGAAGAGGCTTCTTTAGGTACTAGTTATTTTTAGTCATTGGTTATTCCTTTATGGCATTGTAATAACTAAAGGAGTTGACTGAAACATAACAGAAAAGGACCCTGGAGTTAGGAAATGGGTCCCAACTCTCGAAATAGGTAACTTTGGGTAAATCTTTTTACAAAACTGTTTTGGCCTCTAATGATTTACATATAAAATGATGGTCATTGGGCTAGAGCAGGGATTGATTGTTTATCTTTTTTTTTTTTTTTTGTTATAGTCCCTTTTCTTTTGAAAGTCTGGTGAAACCTATGGACCCCTTAGCAGAATAATGTTTTTAAGCAATTGAAGGAAATGCTAAATTTCAGTTAGAAGTTAGTAAAAATACATTTTTTTTAATTATCCATGAACTGTTTGGGCATTCATGGGCTTCAGGTTACACACCCCTAGACAAAATCATCTCTGTGGTGCCTTCTAACTCTACATTTATTTGATTCTAAAGAATTTGGATTCAAGGTTGATGCCTGACTTTGCGTATAGGTAGAATAGGAAATAGCCTAGAATTGAAGGGTGTTAGGAAGGCCCTTACACCAGCCTCCCAAATGGCTTACTTCTCCTCTATATAGTATTTGCTTATCCTTTCAATTATATCTCAAGTCTTGGGCATAGATTGTAATGCCCCAGATTTCTTGTCACGAAAGGAAATAATCTCTTAAAACTAATTCTTACTAGCCTACAATTGACTATATTTGGTAAGGAGAATTGTATTTTGGAAGAAATTGCCTAGAGAAGACCAACTTAACATAGAATAGAGAATAATTCTCAGGATAGGCAGTACTTTTTTGTTTTGTTTTTCCTAGTTATTCCCTCTTAACTCAGGAAGAGAGAAGATAGGAGTCGATGGTTATACCTAATACATATATATAAGGTAGACGTTCTACCTACCATGTGAATATGGCACCTTCTTTATATCTATCTATATAGCTAAATATAGATATAGATAGACATATAGATATCTCTCTAGATATATAGATGTCAATGTCAATATATTGATATATCTATATGTATCGGTTACTTTTTACATTTGTGAATGTGTTATGTATGTATACATATGTATATGTGTAAAAGAAGGTGCCCTGTTAGCATGTATATGTGTGTGCATATATGTGTGTATGTGTATATATGTATGTGTATATATGTATGTGTGTATACATTTTTCTTGTTAACATGGCAGGAAGAATGTTCATTTTATATACATGCATGTATATATGTCTATATATGTGTATATAAACATATGTGTGTGTATGTGTATATGTATGTGTATGTTTATACACATGCATATATACTTATATATGTGTGTATGTGTGTGTGTGTGTGTGTGTGTGTGTGTGTGTGTGTATATATATATATATATATATGCTTATTAAGGGGAAGCTGCTATATAAAAAGCCCTGGGGAAGATATTATACAATTTCCATTACATCCTTATAATGCAAAAAATAAGAATTTGAAATTTTCTATGGGTGGTAATTGAACTTCCTAAATGATTAAAACTGCTTGAAAAATCATAGCACTTGAATAGACTAAATGCATATTGAAAATTTTACAGAAAAGTTGAGAATACATTTAAATTCAAGCCATTTTTTTCTCAGCAGAGTGGGCAGATATTAGATATCCTGTTGTGATAGAAGACAGAAACTACTCTTCTGAAGAATTAGTGGCAGCAATTAGACTGCAAGCTTACTGGAGAGGAACTTATGTTAGGCTCGTCATGAAGGCCAGAAAACCAGGTATACTTTTACATTTAATAAATTATTAATGATTTAATGTAAATAATATAAAACATCAGTATAACCAATTAAATTTGCTTTATGACTATTTCTTTTTAAATAGATGCAAGTTCAACCCATGAAATGTCATATTTTTTCAGTCTATCAGTCAAAGACTCCATCAAGATTCTGTATTTACTTTTACATGTGTATGATTATAGTTCGAATGTACTTGTTTTATATATATATGAGTGTGTGTGTGTGTGTGTGCGTGTGCATGCATGCACTTGGCATTACTTCATTTCAATTCAGTACAATTCAATAAACATTAATTAAGCATCTACCTTATGTACTAGGCACTGTGCTAAGCTCTAAAAACCAAGCAGAGCTGCTGATGGAGAATGGAGAGTTACCTGGAAAGTTCTGAAAGTTCAGAGTCTTCTATAAAGGAAGGCTTTGGAAGTTCTGCCCTCTAGCACTCCAGAGGGGAGAGGCATCTGAGGGAGTCAAAAAAGTATCAAAAACAGAGCTGAGAATGTATCCAAAACTGAGTCAATTCAGCATGTGATCAGCTTCTCCTAGTGAAAGGCATGATGTTCCATGGAGTAGAAACCTAGCAGAGCAGCTGATGGAGAATGGAGAGTTATCTGGAAAAACTTCATAATATTATTTTTCAGCATTTATAAAAATGTTCCTCATACTAAGATGTCCATAGGCATCTCAAACTTAATACATTCAAAGCAGAATTATCTCTTCCCTTCATCTCCCCACTTCTTTTTCTAACTTCCCTACCCAGATTTACAACCTCAGAGTCATTCTCAACTTTTCAGTTTGACTCACCTCTCATATCTAATTAATGGTTACATTCTATAATATAAATTCATCCTCTACAACATATTTCACATGTGTCCCTTTCTTTCCAGTCACACTGCTATTGCCTGAGTTCAGGCCTTCACTACCTTTTGTTTATACTACCATGACAGTTTTTAAAATGATCTATGTCTAATCATTCCCTTCTCCACTGTATCCTCCACACAGCTACCTAACTAATATTCCTAAAGTAGAGGTCTGACTGTATCACTCCTGATCAAGGAAATTTAGTAGCTCCCTATCACCTCTAGGATAATATGCCAATTAATCTATTTGTCATTTGAAGTCCTTCAAAATCTCATTAAATCCTATCTTTTTAAAGTAATTGCACATTATTCCCCCTCATGTATACTACACTCTAACCAAACTTTTTAAAAATTTCTATTGTTCATAAACAACATTCCAACACTCATCTCTGTACTTAAAATGCTTTGCCTTCTCACCTGTGCCTTTTAGAATTCCTAGGTCCCCTCAAGACAATTCAAGTGCCATTTCATACCATGCCTTTTCTGATCTCTGTTAGCATCCCTCCCAATTATTTTGTATTTACTTATTATCTGTATACATACTCTTTTCCCCACTCCTCAGCTGCCATATAAGCTTCCTGAGAACTGGGATAATTTTGTTTTTTTATTTGTATCCTCAATATCTACGCATTGCCAAACACATAGTAGGTGTTTAAGAAGTACTTGTTAAATGAATGTCTTGAACCTTAATTATACTATGTGTACTTCATTACCTGAATGTACCAAAATTTATTTAACCATGTCCCTATTGGATATTTAGGTTGCTTCTAGTTTTTGCAGTTACAATGTCCTTTAGATGACACGTTGATTGGACTGATTTCTTAGATGTGATAATTCATGCTGTATCTCTAGTGAAAAGAAATGATCTGTTCATGTAAACCTTGATTACAATAATTTGGTTGATTCAAATGTTATTCTGTGAGTTATGAAATAAAGGTGAGGGAGGATGCACTCAAGTATAATATTGTACTAGGAATTAGGAGACCGGGGCTCTAGTACTGGTTCTGCCACTAAGGAACTTTGACTTCATACAAGTTGCTGCTTCTCTTGATCTCAGTTTTCTCAATTATTAGGTAAGAGGATTGGATGATATGATCCCATAAGCCCCTTGTAGATTTTAAGTTCTTTGATTTCTTTTTGTTATTTTCAGACACAAAGCAAAATATTGACGTTTCAGACAGTCTACAGAAACTTTGGAGTTTGCTGGATTTAAATTTAGAACAATATTCAGTCTCTCTCTTAAGGTAACAGGCAACATAAGCCATTTCCATATTGTACTGACAAGCATCATCTTGTTATAATGACTGAATCCTTAAAATATTTATCTAAATTATTTATTATCTAAATATTTATTTTAAATTATTTGAGGAAGTACCACAATGATTCAGACTAATTTTCAACTAGTATGGTGCCAATATTAAAAGTAATATCTTTAGCCTCTCCTGCATTTCAATCCTAAAGGTATTTTGAGTATTGCAGTGTCCTTCATTTATAAGTTGCTAACATGATGACCTTTATTTAATGAGAAGCTTAATTTCAGTGTATTTGTTATTTGTATATCTCCAAGTATTAGTCTAATAGACACTTTAAAACCAAAATTAAGCTGAGTTTCCAATTTAGTTAACCAGTTTGACAAAACACCATGGTTACATTGGAATATTTAAATTTTTCTCGAAGTGTTGAAGTGACAATGAAGAATCTTTTATTCTTCCCTCTGTTGAATTTATAGTATGACAGAATCATTCGTATAAAGCTTGCAGGAACCGTCTAGTTCAACGCCTTTATTTTACAGATGAGGAAACTGAGACTCAGGTTATATAACTTGATGAAAAATCACACAGCTGCTAAGTGTCGGAGGCAGAGTTTGAAGCAGATTTTTCCCAACTTCAGTTATAAAGGCTGGACTCTAAACAATGGATTTGTAGTTAGAGGACCTGAGTTCAAATTTTGGTCTTACTGCCTTCTCACTGTGTGACCCTTAGGTAAGCTCCTTTACTTCTACAACTCTGTTTCCCCATCTGTAAAATAAAAGATTTGGACTATACCAACTGTAAAGGCTCTTCCAGTTTGTAAAAAGAGGTATGTTCTTATGCTGTGTGCATCGGTGTTACCACCACAACCCTTTTTCCTTTATCCTAGTCTCCTTTGACCACCTACAGCCTCCCAACCGGTTTCTCCCTTAGTCAGATGAAAGATTCATTTGATCTGTTACTGCTTCAGGTTGTCCTAATAACTCATTGCTTTAACCAGTTCCTTTACCATGTGAATCAGAACCCTGTCTTACCTTCTTTTTAAAACTCCTATACAGTAATATTAAAAAAATTAATATTCCCCAAGTCACTCTCTCCTTTCCTTCCAAGTAGATTTAATGCCTACTTTATCTGTTCATTTACATCCTCCTTTGGCTCTTTTTTCATACTATCGAAGCAATATGATGGAGCATTGGACTTGACATCAAAAGGAAATCCTGGTTCCTGCATTTATTATCTTTGAAACCAAAGGCCAGATGCTTAATTTCTCTGAAGCTATTTCCTCATCTCTAAAATTGGGATGTTAATATTTACACTAAAGTATTTTTCAGGGTTGTTGAAAAGAAAGTGTTTTGTAAATCTTAGTGGATCATATAAATGTAGCCTATTAATTCTTCATTTACAGTATGCCCTCATTTGCTCTGCATTTTATTTTTTTATTTTTTTATTAATTTATTTTGATTTATCACTAATCACTTCCATATGCTTTTGAGTTTAAAATTTTTCTCCCCCTTCCTCCCCACCACCCTCCCCAAGACAGCGCATAATCTGATATAGGCTATCCATTTACATTCATATTAAACATATTTTCACATTAGTGATGTTGTAAGTAGAAATTAAAACCAATAGGAGGAACCATCAGAAAGAGGAAACAAAACTCAACAGAAGAGAAAAAAATTAGCAATTTGGCTTCCATAATTCTTTCTTTGGGTGTGGATGGCATTTTCCATCAAAAGACCTCTGGAAATGTCTTAGATCCTTGTATTGTCAGGAAGGGTTAAGTTTATCAATATTAGTCATCATGCAACGTGGCTGTTATTGTGTGCAACGTTCTTCTGGCTCTGCTCACCCACTCAGCATCAGACCACACAGTCTTTCCAGGTCCTTCCGAAGTCAGCCTGTTCATCACTTCCCACAGCACAATAGTATTCTTTCACATTCATACACCACAACTTGCTCAGCCATTCCCCAGTTGATAGGCATCCCCTCAACTTCCAACTCTTTGCCACCACAAAAAGAGCTGCTATGAATATTTTTGTACAGGTAGGTCCCTTTCCCGTTTGTGTGATCTCTTTGGGATATAGCCCTAGAAGTGCTATTGCTAGTTCAAAGAGTATGCACATTTTTATATCCCCTTGGGCATAGTTCCAAACTGTTCCCCAAAATGGTTGGATCATTTCACAACTCCACCAACAATGCACCAGTGTTCCAATTTTCCCACATCTCCAACATTTATCATTTTCCTGTTTTGTCATGTTGGCCATTCTGATAGGCGTGATGTGGCACTTCAGAGTCGTCCTGATTTGCATTTCTCTAATCAATAGTGATTTAGAGCATTTTTTCATATGACCATAGATGGCTTCAACCTCTTCATCTGAGAACTGTCTGTTCACATCCTTTGACCATTCATCAATTGGGGAATGGTTTGTATTCTTATAAATTTGACTCAATTCTCTATATGTTTTAGAAATGAGGCCCCCATCAGAGATCGTTGTAAAAATTCTTTCCCAATTTTCTACCCTCCTTCCAATCCTAGCTGCATTGGCTTTGTTTGTGCAAAAACTTTTCAATTTAATGTAATCAAAATTATCTATTTTGCTTTTTGTAATGTTCTCTATCTCCTGTTTGGTCATGAATTCTTCTGTTCTCCATAGATCTGACAGGTAAACTATTCCTTGCCCTTCCAGTTGCTTATAGTATCAGCCTTTATATCTAAATCATGAACCCATTTAGACTTTATTTTGGTATATGGTGTGAGATTTTGGTCTGTGCCTAGTTTCTGCCATACTCTTTTCCAGTTTTCCCAGCAGTTTTTTTTTTTTTCAAAGAGTAGGTTCTTATCCCAGAAGCTGGGGCCTTTAGGTTTATCAAATAATAGATTACTATGGTCATTGACTACTGTGTCTTGCATATTTAACCTGTTCCATTGACCCACCACTCTATTTCTTAGCCAGTACCAAGCAGTTTTGATGATTGTTGCTTTATAGTACAATTTAAGATCTGGAATGGCTAGGCCACCTTCCCCTGCATTTCTTTGCATTAGTTCTCTTGATATTCTGGACCTTTTGTTCTTCCAAATGAATCTTGTTATTATTTTTTCTAGCTCTATAAAATAGTTTTTTGGTAGTTTGATTGGCATGGCACTGAACAAGTAAATTAGCTTAGGTACAATTGCCATTTCCACCATATCAGCTTGGCCTACCCATGAGCAACTGATGCCTTTCCAATTATCCAGATCTGATCTTATTTGCATGAAAAGTGTTTTGTAATTGTGCTCATCAAGTTCCTGGGTTTGTTTTGGGAGGTAGACTCCCAAATATTCCATAATGTCTACAGGAAGTTTAAATGGAATCTCTCCTTCCATCCTTGCTGTTGGGCTCTGTTGGCAATACATAGAAATGCCAATGATTCATGTGGACTCATTTTATAGCCTGCAACTTTGCCAAAGCTGTTCATTATTTCAAGCATTTTCTACTTGATTCTCTGGGATTCTCCAAGCATAGCATCATGTCATCTGCAAAGAGTGACAGCTTTGGCAAACTTGCAGAGAGTGACAGCTTTTGACATATTTACAATATGCCCTCATTTCCTCTGCAATTTAAAAAAATAATTTTTACTGAAATTTTTTTTATTTAAAAACTCCAAATTACTAAGTAAAAACTATGATTTTGCTAACAGATAGCAGGACTCTTTAGCCATAGTCCCTATGCATGCAACCTTAGCATGCCACCCAATTTTTGGATGTCTTAGGGGTTGGCTTTCCAGTTATAACTACAGCCTTTGGATGTTCTTTTTTCTCATTAGTCATGTTGTAAAGAAGAATTAAAACAAGTGGGAGAAACCACAAGAAAGAAGAAACAAACAAAAAAAAAACAACAAAAAAAAAGAGAGAACAAATAGTATGTTTCGATCTGCATTCAGGCTCCGTAGTTCTTTTTCTGGATGTGGATAGCATTTTCCATCATGAGTCCTTTAGAGTTGTCTTAGATCCTTGCATTGCTGAGAAGAGCTAAGTCTATCAAAGTTAGTCCTTGTACAGTGTTGCTGTTATTGTGTACAATGTTCTCCTGGTTCTGCTCACTTCACTCAGCATCAGCTCATATGAGTCTTTCCAGGTTTTTCTGAAGTCTGCCTGCTCATCATTTCTTATGCAACAATAGTATTCCATTACATTCATATACCACAACTTCTTCAGCCATTCCCCAATTGTTGGGCATCCCCTCAATTTCCAATTCTTGGCCACCACAAAAAGAGCTGCTATAAATATTTTTGTATATATGGGTCCTTTTCCCATTTGTATGATCTCTTTGGGATCCAGACCTAGAAGTAGTATTGTTGGGTCAAAAGGGTGCACCGTTTTATAGCCCTTTGGGCATAGTTCCAAATTGCTCTCCAGAATGGTTGGATCAGTTCATAACTCCATCAACAATGCATTAGTGTTCCAATTTTCCCACATCTTCTCCAACATTTATCATTTACCTGTTTTGTCATGTTAGCCAAATCTGATAGGTGTGTTGTGGTACCTCAGAATTGTTTTGATTTGCATTTCTCTAATCCATAGTGATTTAGAGCATTTTTTCATATGACTGTAGATGGCTATAATTTCTCCATCTGAAAACTGCTTGTTCATATCCTTTGACCATTTATCAATTGGGGAATGACTTGTATTCTTGTAAATTTGACTCAGTTCTCTATATATTTGAGAAATGAGGCCTTTATCAGAGATGTTGGTTGTTTCCCAGCTTTCTGCTTCCATTCTGATCTTGGTTGCATTGGCTTTGTGCAAAACTTTTTCAATTTAATGTAATCAAAATTATCTGTTTTGCGTTTCATAATGTTCTTTATTTCTTGTTTGGTCATAAAATCTTCCGTTCTCCATATATCTGACAGGTAAAGTATTCCTTGCTCTCCCAGTTTGCTTATAGTATCAGCCCTTATCTCTAAATCGTGTACCCATCTTGACTTTATCTTGGTATAGACTATAAGGTATTAGT